GAAGTGGTGCTGGCTCCTACCCTGGGGGTCTTTAAGACAAGGCTTGACAGTCACCTTGCTGGGGTCATTTGACCCCAGTACTCTTTCCTGCCATGGCAGGGTGTCAGACTTGATTATCTGCTCAGGTCCCTTCTGACCCTACTAACTATGAAACTAGGAAACAAAAGGAAGACGAGGGAAAGCATGGGTTCCTTACTAAATGGGCGAGGCGACCTAGTGATAGATGATGCTGAACAGGCTGAAGTACTTGATGCCTTTTTCACTTTGGTCATCATAGACAAGGTCATCTCCCAGACTACTGCACTTGGCAGTACAGTTTGGGGAGGAGCAGCCAGCAGTGACAAAAGAACAGGTTAGGGAGTATTTAGAAAACTTAGATGTGTACAAGTCTATGTATCTGGACACAATGCACCTGAGGTTGCTGAGTGAGTTGGCCAATGTGACTGCAGAACTGCTGGCCATTATCTTTGAAGACTTTTGGCGATTGCGAGAGGTTCTGGATGATTGGAAAAGGGCAAATATAGTGCCCATCTTTAAGAAAGGGAAGAGGAGCATCTGGGGAGCTACAGATTTATCAGCTTCACCTCAGTCCTTGGAAAAATCATGGAGCAGGTCCTCAAGTAATCCATTCTAAGCACTTGGAGGAGAAGGTGTTTTATGAACAGTCAGCATGGATTCACCAAGGGCAAGTCATGCCTGACTAACCTGATTGCCTTCTATGAGAATGTAATCCATGAGATTCCTGGCTCTGTGAATGTGGGGAGAGCAGTGGACGTAATACACCTTGACTTCAGCAAGGCTTTTGATATGATCTCCCACAACTTTCCTGCAAGCAAGCTAATGAAGTATGTGTTGGATGAATGGACTGTAAGATGGATAGAAAACTGGCTGGACCATTGGGCTCAAATGATAGTAATCAATGGCTCGATGTCTACTTGGCAGTCAGTATCAAGTGGAGTGCCCCAGGGATTGCTCTTGGAGCTGGTTTTGTTCAATATCTTGATCAGTGATCTGGAAGATGGGATAGAGTGCATCATCAGCAAGTTTGCAGATGACATTGAGCTGAGGGACGGTAGTAGATATGCTGAAGGGTAGAGCTAGGATTCAGAGAGACTTGACTTATGCAAATTGAAGAATTGGACCAAAAGAAATCTCTTGAGGTTCAATAAGGAGAAGCGGAAAGTCCTGTACTTGGGACAGAACAGTTCCATGTGCTGGTACAGGTTGGGGACCAACTGGCTAAGCAGCTGTTTTGAAGAAAAGGACCTTGGGGTTACAGTGGGCAATAAGCTGAATATGAGCCAACAGTGTGCTCTTGTGAAGAAGGCTAACGGCATACTGAGCTGCATTAGTAGGAGCAGTGTCAGCAGATCAAAGGAAATGATTCTTCTTTTCTATTCAGCACTGTTGAGGCCACGTATGGAGTACTGTGTCCAGTTTTGGACCCCCCCATTACAGAAAGGATGTAGACAAATTTGAGAGAGTCTGCATTGCGGAGAGAGTGGAGGGCAATACAAATGGTTTGGGGGTTGGGGCACATAGTTTTTGAGGAGGGGCTGAGGGAACTGGGCTTATTTAGTCTGAAGAAGAGAAGACTGAGAGGGGATTTGATAACAGACTGCAGCTACCTGAAGGATGGTTACAAAAAAGCTAGACACCTTCCACCACGGAAAACTGACACAACAAGGATCAATGATCTAAAGTTGCAGCAAGGGAAGTTTAGGTTATATGTTAGGAAAAATATTCTCATTAGGTGGGTAGTCAAGCACTGGAACAGGTCAATAGAGAGGTTGTGGAATCTCCATCCTTGGAGGCTCTTTAAACCTGGGTAGACAAAAACTTGGCTGGGATGATATAGTTGGGACTGGTCCTGCTTTGAGCAGGGGGTTGGACTACATGACTTCCTGAAGTCCCTTCCAACCCTAGTTTTCTATGATTAAATAATGTGCAGGTATATTTTTTTAAGTCCTCAAACTTTGCCATGAAATTACTGTTTTCTACCCAGTTTGTGTAGCATCAGGATTGAAAATCATTTCTCTGGGTTGTAATGCAGAACATAGCAATTTGTTATATGGTATCCAAACTTAAGAGATAGTCTAAGTCAATACTTTGGGATGGATTGAACAGGTTTAGACCATGGCTAATGTCTAGAGCAAATGATGACTTCTGTTATGAGGAATACAAATTGCAAGTCAGAAAACCAGCATTTCTTTTCTTGGTTATTTCTTCTACTTTTCTGCAATTGCCCTGAGACTTCATCAGCATGTGAACAAGGCTGTCTTCAATGAGGTATTTGTCATGCAAATATCTCTCTAATGCTGCTTTTTCCTTAGGGTTAGAAGAGGCCAGACTTTATTAGCTACAGGATCATATTCATCTTTCAGTTCGAATTCAACCTGATTATTTTTTCCAGTCACACTTGGATAACAATCCAGTTTCAACATACATGTCCCCAATTATAAAAGAGATTTTACTGCATACTTCTGTTTTTTTGTTACTGTTACATCACTGAAATCAGCATCATTTTTTTTTTTAAATTTAGAAGGGATGCACAGAAGACAGGTCTGAAACACTGTTTTAGAATTCCTCGTAATGCTGTTACACTTTTTCTCCACTCTTATTGCTTTTATGAGATATTGGTTGCAATATTTTTGTTTTTTTAAGTGAATGACAGCTGTGTTTTATGGTTATGGTAAGCCATAGGGGCGATGGCTGTGATAACTTCTCCTTGGAAACTATTCAACACATCCTCAAGACTCTTAGAATCCAGTCATCAGAGGAGTACAAAAGGGAGTTCCAAATACCATTGCTAATTAAAGGAACAGAGGCATCAGAAGAAATCATTTAAAGGAAGCTTTAGAGTAACTTTTCCATATTGCTCTTTTTCTAATTTTATCTAAAAACACTTAGAACAAAAAAAAGAGGAGGCGAATAGTAGTCTATCTAGTAATATGTTGCAATATATATTCAACAGTATTTTTCTCATTATTGTTTAGGGCTTGAAAAGATTTATTTGGATTTAGAGATGTATACCTAGCAGCTGTAGACTTGAGTGGTCTAATTAATCCAAGTCAGGATTGTCCAATATGTGGCCAGCGAAGGATTACTTCATGGGCTGTAGGCTTCTGCCTAACTACTGCTCCTTCTGCTGCTGAGGTCTCTGGGTCCCCCTGTCACTTCCTTCTCTGAGGTTTGATTTCTATCCCAAGCTCTGAGGCTGAAGTGACAGGAGCCTGGGAAACCTACACAGTGAAGGGACTTTACAGTCTCATGCACCAGGACAGCCTGCGCAGCGGAGAGGGGGGAAAGGGGTGCACATCATGGGGCCTGGGGCACATAGTCTTCAGCCATAGAGAAATTGGGCAGCCCTGACCTAAGTGAAAAACTCTGTTCCCTAAAACAGTTAGCTTGGAAGGCTTTGACTTCCAAAGGATTTTTTTGGCCAATACTGATGTCTGATTATTAATCAGCTATGTTGGCCGATACTGATCTGATTTGCCTATATACAGCCCAGTAGTGTGGAGAGCAGGATCGAGCTTGTAAGTCTGTGGGGGGGGAAAGGGGTGTGGGTGTGCAGATCGAGGACCCCACAGTAAAGGAGGGAATGGGGCTGAGGTGGGGCAGGCACTGCCCAGGCCGGGCCAGGGTGTGGGATGGTGCCATGGGCAGCTCGTCCCGGGGTGGGGGGGGGGCGGGGGGGGGGGGAGA